CAGCATTTGCTTGTCACGTTGTTACTTGCCACTTTGATGATTGGGAGAATTCATTCATGCTGTCAGTATCACCTCTGACCGTGACCCATGGTCGTTTCCAGACACGACTCTCTCTTATTGTTTAATTAACGGACAACATGTAAAGTATGAAATGGTGATGAGCACATGACGAACAATCGTCAAAAATCAGCAAATACTGAAAATTACGAGAAATGATGAAAATCACGAAAATAATGAAACGTGAACAAAATTCATGGAAATACCAATTTATGAAACATGAAAGATGAGAAAACATGATGAACATGAAAAATCATGAAAAACATGCAAAAAAAAACGGATGAACAATCATGACAACAATGAAATATAACAAGTATGCAGTATGAATCTAGAATGAAAATAATGAGAAATGATGGAAAACGATGAATGAAGAAACATGGTGAAATGATGAGAAAATCCTGGTGATAGTAATAAGTGGTACCACACAATGAAACATCATGAACAACAATGTAAAAAAAAAAAAACAGTGGATAATAATGAGCATAACTAACCACTACATGAAAAGAAACTGATGAAACGTCACGTTGAAAAAGGGGAACATGATGACAAATGCTTGCGTGAAAGTGCTTTGCAAAATAACAGCAGGGGGTTCGGTGGGCAGGCAACCCCCCCCAATTGCAAAATCTGGAGAAAGATTAGGATACAGTATCTGCCCTCTTCCGCCATTTGAATCTGGCGATGCGATGTGATTAATGATGATCAAAGGATGAACATGAGCAGCAGAGATGGGAATGATGAACATGAAGGAAACTCAATGAAACGCGTTGAACAATAATGAAAGTGACTCAAGATTCTGAAAAGTGATGAAGCATGACGGAAAATCATGAAACGCATGAAAATCTTGGGAGAAAATAACGGGAAAGTATCACAATGATAATATGAAAAATAACAGATTTATGAAATCACGAAAAAATATGGACCTGTCATGCAAAACCATGAAACACCGTGAAAAGGTAACGAAAAATCGTGAGCATGAAAGAACAACCCTACAAGACTATGATACAATTGGATTTGTTTTTTTCGGGACCGTTCTTCTGCCTGCAGTAGCAATGTGGGTCCCTGTGCACGGCGCCCCAGCCTCAGCCAGCGCGCATGGGAAAGCGGCTGCTGGCGGGGGTCGCCTGCCAACGCGCGTCGGCAAGGAGTTCGTGCAGGGCGGGTTCGGGCTCGCCAGCACTACACTCTCCGCAAGGGGCCAACTCAAGTAGGGATGCTGCAAGGGCTCGCTGCGCTGCGACGGCCAGGATGCCGCTCCACCTCCGGACCCACGCTGCCCTTGCCGCAGCC